AAATTTATTATTTCAACACAAAATAGTATTATTTTAACTCCAGTGTTTTAGTTAAATTAACGACATATTGAGTAGGAGCAGTGGCGACCCATAGGAATAGTTAAAAATGACTCGAATAGAGGATAATTTAACACTACGAATTTAACAATGTAAAGAGTACACTGAAACTTTGTAATGAATTATCCAACGCGCGTTTGTTCCTTAATTCCGCGCAACTCTCACGGTAACTATTCGCACTTTCGTGACAAGCTGGTCCACTTAACGCGCATCCGAGACGTTCCTTTTTAGGAGACCTCGGGAGAGAAGAGGGTCCCGATTTCACGGAGCCCGAAAGATTTCGGTGGCACGAGATGCGCCGGATTCTATATTTGTCTTTCTGAGGTGAGTCGTCGTGTTGGATGAGTGTTCCATGAGGCGGTAAAACGGCGAATCACGCACTCTGGGGCGCCTCACCTGCTAGACTCGAGCCTGAGGTGCCCCAGGTGGATCCGTCAGAGAGTACTCGACGGCCGGACAGTATCGCGAGCGCTGGCGCGAAAGCATGCGGCGCGAGCCTCGTCGAGTACTTTCGTTCCGCGCGTCGCGAGCAACGCGCTCGTTCGCGTTCGTTCGCGTCTTTTGAATCGTCCCTTCGCTACAACAAAGTGGAGAAATAAATTTTTCACAGCGCGAGGAGTGGAAAACGTCGGTTTTCTTTAACTTCGCTGAAAATCGTGCTAATTTCCGCGAAGATTTCTGAACGCAACCCGCGAGAACAAGCGCGAACGAGTGATTCGCGGAGTGTGGGTGAGTGTAAACAATCGGCATTCCTTCTTACTCTCTCACGTTTTCTCATCTTTTTTTTTTCCACCGAAAAGTTTCATTCGCGCTCCAACGTCCTACGCTCCGATCTCTCTTTTACACGCGGCGCCGACACGCGCGTGCATTTCATGTTTCCGAGAAAGGATCGGTCGACGCATCGGCGAACGGCTTTTCCTCGCCGAGGATATTACGCGAGTGGCATTGTCAGCCTCTTACATAACGATGCCGTGCGGCAGGAGCGATGAGAATCTTCCCAGTGCACGACGGAGTATATCCGGGCGTTCGATAAACGCGCGTTTATCGATTTATCGAGATTTATCGGCGGTTTTTCCCGCGATCGTCAGCCACCGATAACGATCGGTCGCCGCGCGAGTGTCGACCTCAGGCTGTATTTGGCGTGAAAGCCAAGGTGCCCCCCTCGTTCCCATCTGATAGATCGTCAGTGTCGCGCGGTCCTAAAATGGATTCGAGGCGCGATCGAACGAGCCCGCTTCGTATTTTCAACCAAAATGGCGACGTCCTTGGCGAGGTCACGTGTCCAGCGTCGCCGTCCGCTCACGCTTAAATCGCTGGTTTTCGCGCGCGTTGAAGTCACCGCGAGGACGCGCCGCGCCGCGGGCCGGCGATTCAAACGTTCCACGCGCGCTTTATCCCGTATCTATTTAACGAAAGAGAATTTTGCCACTGTCGATTAACGCTAATTTAATCTCCCGTCGCCCGCGTTGCGTTTACGCAGCGATCGGGGGCTGTAGAAGCGGTTCAAAGTTAATGAGATGTTAGTGAAACCTCATCGATGTAGCTTTCCGAAGAGATGCAGGCGTGTGCATGCGTCTTCAACCGTAGATTTCTTTCTTTGAGAAGTACTGCAATGGCACAGATTTATTGAAATTTTACTTTAAGCCTTGAAAATGATCTGAAAATAAATTTTTATCGAGCAGATTAACCCTGCGTGCGATAAATTTGTGAGAAAGTTGAGATAAACTCGGTAAAAATCTCTCTGTACGAATTCCGCGAATGAAATTGATGAAAGGAATTGTGAGAAATATGTTCATACTTGAATTTATATATATCAAGAAGTAACCTTGGATTAAACTCACTCTTCGTCTCTTTCTAACTGTCCCCCTTAGAAAAAGACGAAGAGTGAGTTTAATCGTTGGTGAAACCGGGCCTAAAAGACAAAAAGTAAGTTAAACCGAGATTAAAGTTAATCTGCATTGACGTAGAAATGGACATTATAGTCGGCCTTCGTAAAGAAACACGGCAGAATTGATTGACAATTCGAGCGACCGTGAACGTATGAAAAAAGAAATGAGATTATCGCCTTTCTATTAAAGTACAATTTAATGAGCCATTACTGTCAAGGATAATTACGTTATTCCTCATTTTTTTACCGTTGCTCTAGCGAGTTCATCCTGTTCTAGACCAAGGTACGTAAAATGTCACGGACTTTTCGAGTTATTCGCTTTTACGCGCTGACGCATCCCTGACGTCACACGCATATCCAATAAGGTGAGAACGACATGGTTGTATGGCGGATTACCAAAGAAGCACGTTGTCAATGCAAAGTGCATGCTTGTCCTCTTAGATCTATTCATGAGATATGAAACTTTTATTGGCGTGACGTTTACGTGATCTCCAATGGCGGAAAAGCAGAGAAATCAAGAAATGTTAATTTTTAAACATGTTTATACAAAATAATCCTTGAGCGACGATTAATCCACGATGTAATTTATTACAAAATTTGATTTGCTTATTGCAATTTTTTAGCTTTTCTCCTGTATGATTAATTGCACGATACAATAAGCATCATTGCATAATTATAATGTCGCGCAATTAAAAGGCTTATAATTAGCAGTACTGAATAAGTTAGGCATCGTATAGCGCATTAAGCGTTTATACGACAACTGTACTTTGTATACGTACCGCAGACTCCTATGAAGTGTTTAAAAATCGCATCAAGCATATTTAATGTACAGTCATTTCAAAACTACATTTTACGATCGTAGATCCTAAAGGTAGAAAAGAATCTAAATACTTACACGTATATCTGTCCATAGTCTGAGGTGGGGCGAACGCGTGCGTAATTCCAACCGCAAGGACGCAAGTGTTCACAGGCGTAGGCAAAGCTCTTTTTAAAACGGATTAAATCGCTCCGTTCGTGAAACTCTCGTGATAAAGCGGTAGTTAAGCTTATGAAGAGCTCGGTGAAGCTGAGCCAAGTATCTTAGAATAGTCAATAATTACAGAGGTATAATAGTACACAATCTGTATATATTGATACTTGAATCATTAAGTATTAACTGCGACCAGAAAATCTAAATCTGGTGTAAACTCTTCTCGTTTTTTTTTCCAGTATTATGATACTCTACTATTTCTCGTATTAGTATTTTCTGTTATTTTTAATATCCATGAAAGATCACTCTCCGCTCATTCTATTGCTAGTCTCCTATTTTTTCAGTTTCAGGAATTATTATCTCAAGAGGCGCAGCGAGAAATTAATCGTTCTTCAATTACGCGTTAATTATCCTTTCGGTCGAACAGACAACTCAATCCGCGCGAACTCCCCGATCAAGGACTCGCGAATGCTTGTAGGAGAAGTCACTCGCGCATCATTTTTACGCTAGGGGTTCCCAACCTTTTTTTTATTAGCAGGGCCATATTAAAATTTTTGTAATGACCGGATAAATTTTATTTTGAAAATAATATAGAAATAAAATCTTTCCGGTTTTTACGTTTTAAAGTTAATTTATTACACTGATAAATTAATGATAGTTTGATGACAGACCAAAAATGTAAGTTATTATTTTAATTAAATATTACGACATAAACACCTTGTTGTGGCTCCGTGCCTCCTTTTTTATTCGTTGATTTCAAAATATTTTCATTATTCTTTTATTTATAATTCTTTTCTATTATAACGTCGATTTTTCTTGGCGGGCTGGATAAAATTTCACAGGGCGGAGGAGAGGGAGCCGAATCTGACCCGCGGACCGCAGGTTGGGGACCGCTAACTTACGCCATTGATATGGGACATACATACAGCAACCGGCCGTACGTGGTGTCTTTAGCCACCACGATCATCTCGATATCGTATCGCGCGTACCATATCGAGGTGGCCGCGACCGCAGGCCCGCGTGCCACCGCGGCCTTCGGCTTCTCTCTTTCTCTACGCAACAGGAGAGAGTCTTCCCGATGAATTATTGCAGGTCCGCGAGCTACGTGTTCCTCACATGCGCGTCGACGTAGCGGAAGAATTGAGGAAGAGGGATGGCGCGCTCGGGGCGGCAGGACTAATATCTCGAATCGAATCCCGTATTACCGAAGGAACAGTGACGCTTTTAGCGTCACCGTGACACATCTGACGTACACACAATACCGGGCAACCATAATATCAAATATATATAATACCTTCAAAGATCTTCGATGTCGCGCAAGATAATCATTAGTCAGAGTGACCGGAGTATTTTTCTTAATTACCTACTTTGAAATTCCCTTTCTTTTCCCTCAAAGCTTCATCTTCTACTTTATCTGGGTTAAAATAAAAATATTATCATTCTAATTAAAGGGGACATCGTTAACCAAAGCGTTCGCTTTTATCGGCACTTTTATCTCCTGCTTTCTGACTACTTTACGCAAATTAATTATCATTTTGATTTAATTGTAATAGGGCGTGAGCAGAAACGTTATTATTCACGGTTTGGCAGCTGAATACCTTCTCGCAACGGCAGACCGAATAAAAGCCGACAGGAACATCAGGACCCCGTAGCAGACATGATCGAATGATGGAGGTGATTTCGACACGCCGATACGAGGCCCGTCCACCGGCGAATACCCACTCCTCTATTCTCGTGAGTAACATTTTCTCCGGCCTCTTCAGAATGCATTTTCTCAGATACTCGCGCGTTTCTCCTTCAAAGTTCACACTCTCGCGCCTACATTGGTACACGCTCGAAAAATCTGATATATACCGATCTGATGTCGAAATAATTTAAGAATAAATCTGAGAGATCAACATAAAAATTTGGAAAATGGATAAGAAATAGAATTGGTCGAAGATTGGTCACAAAATTTATTGAATAAAAAACTTCACGCTTTGATAGATAAATACTCGATAAATTTCTATGTATATACGATTAACGGCTTACTTTTTAAAGATATTTTCGTTCAACTGAAATCTCCGGCACATTAAAATGTTTTTCATTAATTATTCTTGATTGACTGTAATTCGCGTAATTGTGTCGGACACAATCCCGCGCGAATCACTCGCGCGTTCGTTCGCCAGAGTTCGATCTTGCGAATGATCTTACTTCACGTTAACGTCCCTGTCGGATTGGAATCTGCCGGGTGTCGGTCAGGAGTTTAGTCGCGTGTAACATGGAGTAAGAAAGCGGTTACGGCGAAGTTATTTGCGGTAGACGTACTTCTCGCGTAACTTCCCCGGAATGTCCTTAGCCGGAAAGGAATCGCTTCTTCGACTCTAGCTCTCGCTCGTAGGCGGATTTACATACGTATTGTTTCCTTTTTCAGGTTGACCCTGAGAACTCCGTGGCATTAATCAAAGAAGGTAAATTCCTCGAACAGAAATGTTAATCTACGAGCGAAAATGGTAGTCCTGGTCATTTATGCCGCCAGCGTGCAAATTAAAAGTTTATTAAAACGAAACTATTAACATAAACTAGAAGAACAAAAAAAGAACGGTAAATATATTATTGCGCATAAAAAATATAAGATGAGACAGATATTCTAATACATATTTATTCATAAAGAATTATTTTACTGGAATATTTTTCATCTTTTCGTAATCTTGAGGAGTTTAAATTTCCGCTTTTCACGATGCATCAATAACGGTAAAAGAGATTAATGCCCGACCCAAAAGTTTCTAATATTTGAATGGCTTAGATCTACACCTGCCGAACCGCCGAACCCTCATCTTTGTCGTTCAAACAAAAGATTAGATAGATATGTCTGAGCTTTTGGAAAAGTAAATTAACCGAAAGGGTCCTCTTTTTGTTGATTCTGTTCTATTTGGCAAACATCACGCTCGCAAAAAATAACTGTTTACGCCAAGTATTATAACTGTTTTTCCGTTCATTCGGACGCTCGCAAAGGTGCGATAATTGACAGCGATGTCGACAGAGGCACAAAAGACACCTCTCCCTCTGCCATCGTCGACTCATCAACCCGCGTTTTATGTCCGTTTGTTCGGGACCGAGAAATTAGTTTTGCGAAACAATGCCGGTCTTGCGAGCCAGGCTGAAAAAATACCCGCTTCCGCCTTTCCAGAGGAATGGGAGACCCGCAAGAAAAAGGAGATTACCACCACGCGGCAGATCGAGACGAGGGTGAAGCGGCAGGTCGTCCTCGAGGATGGCGAGGTCGTCGTCGATTCCGGACCTCTTGTCACCACGAACACGACCGAAGATGTCGAGCAGCAGGAACATACGACTCAGGAGGTTTGCATATTTATCGAATGGTATAAGTCCGCTAATAAATTTTGCTCGAGATAAATATAGTATATTATATAAATTTTGACGATAAATATACAAATGACATAAATAATCATGAACTCTTGAGATCTATCCATCTAATAATGCTAAATTGTTCATATATCTCAAAGTTTTCTATCATTTCTGTCCTTCGAGAAGATCCCAGATCGCGTTTCATTCGTAATAATTTTTACGAGACGAAAGATGTAACGAGCAACAGTTGCCCAGAATTTCCTTCCTCTCATGTCCTTTCGACACATCCATTGTTCATTGATTTCTGCATACATTTGCGTATCAGAATCGGCCTCCTTTGTAGTACCTATCGCGCGCCCGTAAGAAAACGTGCTATTAACTGGTCCGCGAACCGGGGTGTTTAGAAACGCACGACCGGTGATCAACCGCGGGAGGTCGACTGGCGGCCGGCGGCGGCGGCAGGTGGTATTGTGACCGGAAATGGCGGTAACATCGTGCAAAAGGAGCTGAACGAGACGGTGATGAGGAGCCGCGAGGAGATCGAGGAGAGACTCGAGACGGAGGATCGTCAACAGTTGGGAGATATCTCAGATGAGGTATATACATATATATATGCACCCGTGACACACCCACCACCTGAATTCCACCTGCGCGTGCCGCGGGGGGAACACACGGCTGTAGGTACGAGCATTCCCTTTCCCGCGGCGCGGCGGCGTCACGCGCCGCGAAAAGGTCGCGCTGTTTGTTCTCCAAAGACTCGTCCCGTCTGATAGCTCGCGCGAGAGTCGACCGTGTCTTAGCTCGGCGAGATTCGGTCAGCACGGCGCCAGATAGGTATTCGGCTTCGCGTTGTGTTACGAAATCATTTGCAAAGCTGAGGAAAACAGGCACGCGCGACCCGCGCCCGCGTTCGAGCGATATTTCTCCGCGGGAGATCTCATCGCCGCATCTTTTGTCGGGAAGTTACGCGGTTCTAATGCCAAAAACCTATATCGAGAAAGATCAAAATGATGAAATATATCAATACCGAGAAAAATCGAAAGTACGGAATATATCAACAAATTTTGCCAGTTGGGTCGATCTAAAAAAGCTACCTACGTTAATTTTTGTAATTGTTAACTGGCGAATCAAACTCATTGTTTTTGTTTTTAAAGATCAAAATGTATCGCAACTCTGAAAAGCTTCTCGAACCTAACTTTTTCCTGTAAAGATTTTTAGAAGTTTCACGTGTGGCGATCAAGAAGCGTCCGTCAAGGCCGGTATTCATAGTCAAATTTTATATTTAAGATCGTCTTAAGTACGATCTTAAAATGTTATGAACCAATCACAGAGCCGTATCAGCATCTTAAGATATTACTTAAGACGATTTTGAAATAAGATCCGACTATGAATACTGGCCTTATATTCAGATTAGAACCTTCTCTTTGTTTTATCCGTTTTACCTTCTAACGTAAATTTAACTTAGAACCAATTGAGAGAGCAATATTTTATTAATTGTTTGTATTTCTCTGACTTAAAAGCTTAAGAGCCTATGGAGAGATAGAATATAAACTGTTAAATTTCATATCTTTTGAATTTAATTTTTCTCCGATTTTATTTAAGTATCGCGAATACCTGTAGGCAAGATCGTGTAATTAAAAGAGCATAAAATATATATATATTTATTTACTTCTATAAAGAAACATGTCAGTTTCTGATTTTATTATCGCGTTCATTTTCGATGCTAATCACGAACTATAAATTAAGAATGTTAACTTGACGTTTACGTCGTTTGACATAGTTAATAGCAATAGATCGTACGTGTCACGTTCATGAGTGTCATAATAACACAGTACACGTTTAACGCGTTAATGCGGATAGACAGGCCCAAGAATAGCTCTCGGGGTACCGAAAAAAAGCTCTCACTCTCCCCCCCGATATCAATCTACGCGGTATGCAACCGCATCCACGTAAATCGCAACGAGGTTTCACAAACCTCGCGCGGGGATACCCGGGAGAGGAGTACCTACCCGGGATTGCGAAAGACGGAGCAACGGGTAATATACGCGAGAGAGGAGACGCTCTCGCGCGCATGAACGATTCCGGACGGAGGAGGTCGTCGAATGGTTCTGGGACGAAGAGGACGAAGGAAGGACGGAGTTAAACGGCGAACGCGGCGGAGCTGGAGGAGCGAGAGAGGGAACCGCGGGGAACGGGGTGAGCGAGGGAGAAGGGGGATCGCGGAAAGCGAGAGACAAAGAGAGAGAGAGAGAGAGAGAGGGAAAGGGATCTCAAGAAGTGGAAGTCGATGATCTCTCGATTTTGCTCTCCCTTCACCCAATGGCGATGAAGGAGCCATGAGATGCCCGCAGCCGCAGTCTCAGCAGCTGTTCCGCACGTCTCTCGACCGCGGGTGCGATCAGCCGCGAATCCGATCTCGCGATAGTGTCCCGCGCTCGTTCTAGTCGGCGGAATCGGCGACGGGGTGTCATCGTCCCCCGTCTGGAATTCGCCGGTGTTCGTCTGCTCCGCCGTGTGGTCTTGATCCTTTATAATTCTCGAGAGTCCCCTCGTCGCCGAACAGGATCGGTCGTCCTCGCGCGCGAGACGCCGGGAGAACTGATCCGCGGGAGGAAAGATCGCCTAATCGGACGCAACGTGCCGCGGCGGGACGTGTCGTGTGTCTTCTCCCTAACGAGATAATCGCAGAAGGTATAATCGCATTGTTGCATCGAAATTGGACGGATCGCGGACTCGTTCCAAAGTGCATACGTATACGCATTCGCTGCAAGTAGATCGGAACACATCAGGTTCGATTGAAAGTATATATAGTGTCGCAGGGCGAACAGTTTTCCCGGTATATATCGCGACGGTTTATATCATGCTCGTCATTGTCCTCGGCGTGTTCAGATACTGAGAGCCTCGTTCTTTCGACCGACGGCGCGGAGGTTGAAGAATCGTGTTGTGTCATCGCAACCGGCGCTTTGCGTAATTTTTAATTTATCTGTCCGATGACACGTATAGGTATATGGACGTTAATACGTAACCATTCGACATGTAGATTTCACTTTAGTAGGAGTGAGGAAATCGGTGTTGCGAGCATCGAATTTGTTAGATGTGATATTTTAAGAGAAAATCATAAATATATAAAAAATGAAGGCAAGAGAGAGAGAGAGAGAGAGAGAAAATTAAAAATTAAATCAATGATGAAACATGACGTGTCTTTGTTGATTAATTATCGCAGAATGCCTTATTTTAGACCGGACGAAAGAGCGGTAACCGATAATTATTATCATTGCCGTCGCGTTTCTAGATGTTCTGCGTATCAAATAAGCGTCTATTAATTCAAACTTGTAAAGATAATTTTCTGGTTTATCATCACGATTTCCTCTATCATTTGCATGCTTTTACACATTTATCGATATACGATTGCGTGCACTTACCCCATTACGACTGTTCTTAATCGTCCTATTCCTTTTCAAAAGCAATACATTTTCGCGGAAAAAAGAGAAAAACAGCTCGACTAGCCGGTTTACCGTGACAAGATTTTGGGGTATATATAATGTTTATATGGGAGAAATATCTCGCGGAGAAGACAATAACGCTGATCGCGAGTTTTCGAAGAGGGTTAATATGCGAGCCCTACATCTGGTTTTCAGGCATACCAGAAGGCGGTGCGTAACAATAGGGGCGACTTGCGAGTCGCCCTTGCCGAATCTTCGAAACAGTTGGCGCCGCAGTCCGCCGGTCCGCGGGTCATTCAGCACACGACTAGGTCAAACAAGGTCATCGACACCGAGAAGACCTTGGAGAAAAAGGAACTGAAGGCTGATGGATTAATCGTTACCGAGAAGAAGCGAACGGTCGAGCACGAAGAGGTGAGCGTCGCAACAGCAAAAACTGGTTAATATACTCCTGCCGTCATTTTTCACTTTTTGTCTCGCATTACCTTCGCTTATTTTTTACGAAACTGTAAAAGAATATTTAATTCTACACAATATTTAATTACAATAATACGTGATTAATATATTTGTATAATTTTAATATCACATGAGTTGGAGAAACACAGTAGTTGCAAAGTAACGCTTGATCGTTTTCGCTTTAGATTAAAGACGACGAGATCCCGGACGACGGGAAGAACGACGACGACGACGAGGCCTCCGAAACGAAGAAGGAAAGCTCGCAGAGATACGTGAAGAAGAGGGAAGAGGACGTGGTGGACTACATCTCGGCCGGCGAGAGAGTCGGCCGAGAAATGCGCTACGTCGCAGAGACAACCGAAGGAGAACGAATAGGCGACTGGTCACCATCACCGACGGGCATGCGGACGACTCGTTTTCACAAGTATCCCGGTACGTCTCGCGCCTTTCTACATTGATTTCTTATCGCCGCGTTCCACATGTTTACGAATGGTTGACCAAAAGGTCAACGGATAATCGTGAGTGGTATACTGAAGTGTATACATATAATCTGATAGCTGAAAGATAAACTGACTGAATTCCTCTTCCATCCTCAAGACCGCTGCGTGTTAAAGCCATTGCACGTAACAAAGTTTTAGTGATAATCGTAAGGCCGTAAGAAAATAAACCAATCACAGTTGATTATTCTCCTTGAGCTCGAGGAATAATCGAATGTGATTGGTCTATTTTCTTACGGCCTTACGATTATGACTAAAACTTTGTTACGTGCAATGGCCTTTACCTTTAATAAAATACATTTTATATTCAACAAAACAACAAAAGTTGTTTTTATTGTCTTGGAGGATTGACGTCTATTGAAGAGAATATCGAGATGTCATTCTTCTACCGATATACGTTTCTCTTCTCAAAAAAAAATCATTACTAATTATATGACAGGTTTCTCGGATGCCGCTCGGAAAGACGCTCTGACAAAGAAACCGTTGGATCTTGAGGAAGAAGACGAGGCGAGGAAATTCGAAACGTCGAAGTGGCTCGAAAGCCACTTCGGCAGCGATTCGCGTTCCTCGCACGGGTCTCTCGACGCCGATGATTCTCCTCTTCCAACCAGCACTAACACGAGCTACATCAATGTCACCATGAAATCCTGCGCACCGAGGGAGCGCGATTATCAGAATACAAGTTCCAGTCGTAATCAGCGACGTGATCGAGAGTCGAATTCGCCTTCAGGATATTTTCATGGAATCAGCGAATGGTCGGAACGATATCAAGGGAAAGGTATGGAAAAGAGAAATTTATTAGAAAAAGTATTTTTTGAGTATTAATTTAAAACAATTAATCTTTAACTTCAGATATCATAATATAAAATATAAAACGTTATTTTCATGTGTAGTGAAATATAAAGTTACAAAATTTTCTTAAAAAGAGAAATAATAAAGACATATTATATTATATAAAGTTTAGGAAATAAAATCAATTTGATTACAGTTTTATCGCAATAAATATTAATTGGTACACGAATTCGAGCTAACGTGAATATAATGTATTCTACACAGAGAAGCAAAATCATGCGCGATCGAACTCTCCGGCTCGGTACGTGGAATCTCCGCGTGCCAACGGACAATTCCACGGACAGAAGAGAAATCAAGTTGAATCATCGTATTCGAAAACTTACGAATCGTTCCGACGTGAATATCAGGATCCTGTCGAGGAACGACAACGTACGCCTTCCCCACCTATACGTCGAAGATCGAAAGAACAGGTGGAGACATTTTTTTCTTCGTTATGAAATTATCGTTTTAAAATAATTAATTTACAAAAAGATACGTAGTATATTAGATTCGCTGAAAGTTTAGTTTAATTATAATCTTTTTGTAGTGGACAAAATCCGAAGAAAAGATCAGCTCGAACGAGCCGACGGGTCGTACTTCAAGTCCGGTACACGTGGTGCAAAGAACTTGGGAGAGCCGTAATCGCGACATTCAAGCACAGACACCCGAACGCGATTACAGAAGTACCTCGCCAAGATCGCGATCCATCTCGCCGAAATCGCCGATAAACGGTCGCGAGGAGAAGAAGTCGGATAGTTCAAGAACATCAAAGAGCAAGTCTTCTTTCACAATTAATTCAAAACAGAAGCGATAAGCTACAAAAATACTCTAATTATAAATTTATAATTTTATTAAGTACTTTAATTTAAAATATTCTAAATCAAACATTATTACAATGAAATTATAAAAGAAATTGATAATAAAAGCTAAACGATAACATCAGTAGCAGAGAAGATTGTTAACATCATCATTATTAATTATTATAATTGTGTATGCATTATATATAATAATAAAACACTATAAATCTACTCGCAGATCATGGAGCTAAGTACAAGATCGGCGAATCCTTTCGGAAGCTGGTGGGCAAATTACGTTCAGCCAGCACGGAGAGAAAGAGTAAACAGAGAAGCGGTGGTTCGACCTCGCAATTGACGCAGACCGATGACAACGGGCCGACCTACTTGCAATACAACGTGATCGATAGGAACATTCCTTTCGTCAGCGAAAGAGACACGACGGAGGACAAACCACCGGAAAGACCGCCGCGATCGCCGCGGAACGCTAACGCGTCGAACAAAGTGACGAAGACCAGGACGGCCGATCATGGTGCCCGGGAACAATGGCAACGCAGCGAATCTACGCCGCCGCCCTTGCAGAGGTACTACTTGGGCGAGGATCCTTTCGGCGGTAGTATCTATGGCCGTGAAAAAGGATACGAGGAGGACAGAGATCGGCTGCGACAAGGAAGACCGCGCGGCTCTGGTAAAATTGCCGTAGATTCCGAGCACAGGTAATCGAAGTACTCCGATATACGACGTAGTGAGAGCGAGACAAATTTTGGTTGATAACTTCTCCCCTATTTAAATTAGATTGCGCTATGATTTGATATTGCTCCTTTTATCGTTATCATTACTGCGCTTGCTACTGAAATATCTTCATGTAACACATGACTGTACATATAGTGATGTCTTTTATAAAATATTAGTCTTCTGTCTTTCTATCTTATGTCTGTTTTTTTTTTTGATTGGTATATGAAGAGTTATTTAAAGGGTTACTTAAATTGGTGTTTAAAGAGATATTACACTAATTGAAGTTTATAAGGAAGTTTTTATAAATTAAATTATAGAAATTAATCAGATAATATTTTTTTATTTAGTTTTAAATGGTATTTATTTCGAAGTACATAATTTGGATTAAAGATATAATTCATATAATATATAAAAATATGTAAAGAAGAATGGTAAAGAACTATGAATGATAGTGATTTTCACTGAGGGAAAATCGATCGCGAATCGAAAGTGCAAAGGATCAAATTTAATTCGAGACACTTTCGAGGCTCTCTATCTATCTATGCATGAATGATTGTTAAGAATGACATAGCGTTTCGAAGATATTTCACGCTTTCACGTATTGTCAGTAAAAATTTGTCTCACGATCAGAATCTGTCATCGTGAATAGACAACGACAACTCGCTATCTCATGCCGCTCGATCGCCAAAGAACGTCGAGTTAGTTGCGCAAGCTTCAGGAGCAGGCAAAGTGCGAACGTCTAAATCGCTTGGGTGTCTTTAAGTCGCATTCGTCGCATTCACGGCGAATATTCGTGCTTCGATTTCGGGGTGAAGGCTGCATGAAGGGACGCATGGGAATCGAAACGTATTATATATCGGCTCGGTAGGCTTCATTCGATCGTCGCCGCAAATCGTCGACGAGAGATAGTCCCGCACGACTCGGCAATCACCTTTCGGAAACGACCGCGTTTCAGCGTCGCCTCCAGCTCCCTCGGCAGGTTTAGCAAGTCCACCAGCAGACTGGCCGGCGATCACGAGAGGGAGGAGCACCTCCGGTCCACCCAGACGTTACCGCGGAGCCTGCACTCCGCCAATGCTGGACAATCGGCACGCTCGCAGATCAGACGACACCAGGCGAACGTCGGCCGGCACGGTACACCCGGCAAAACGGGCCAGCACAGCAGCATGATCAACATATCGATCAAGAATACGGTGAGCACGTCGCCCAAGGTGAACGTGACGCCCGCGTACAGCACGCTTCAGGCACCGCCGAAACCCGAACGTACATACAAGTCGTCGCTGTTACGCAGCAAGAGCTTTAACGTCGAGGCCGACAAAAACGGCGTCGACGCGCCGGTCCGCGCACCGTATACCTCCAATTTGCACCTGAACCGCCTGGACGAGACCCCGCCGCTCAAGAGCCCCGGCATTCTCGCCAGCATTAGCCGTAGTAACAGGGATCTGTTAAGAGATGGTAAATATTGAAGTGGCCAATAATATAAACAGTATATATCCTTCTTTTGGACGTTAAATTGCGCTATCCTTCTCTTTCCCCGCAAATACGCGCGTCCGAAGAGCGTCCCAAAGCGTAAACGATACAAGTCTTAAGCGAGAAGCGAAAAGTCTGATAAAGTAATGAATTATATTTGTGTTTTACATATATTGTAATTGCATATATGCTTTCAATAATCTTATACTTTTAAAACTTTTATTAAAACTTTTCATTTTCCCTTTGGTTATCGTTGAAATCTTGCCCTCCTCTTCCTCCTTCGCCCTCGTTTTTAATTGCGTCACTGATGGCCACCATATTCAAATATTTGTATAGATAATTAAATTTTTAAATTTATTCTTATTAAATAGTTGACTCATTTTCTACGTTATCATCACGTATCACCTCGTTACGCGTTTTAATGTGGAATATTGTAGGCGTGACGTAAATAGTAGCAATCGTAGAGACAGACACATCCTCTGGAAACTGTTCAAGAAATTAAAAGGTGTTGCAGCTACTATTTATAGTCGACGTTTTATTCGTAGACAAGAAAAATATTAAGTTCTAGATACCGTGCGATATGTACACGACATCGTTCTCATGAATTATTTAACATGGAATCTGTCGGAGTCGAGGACGTGAAAGTCACGTCCTCCGAAATCGATCATACGGAGTACATTAAATAAGTAGAATCGATAACAATCGCTAAACTTCTTAAATATTACAAAATGTTTCGTACATTTTTAATTTTACGTCTATGTGCCACATTTTTCAACAGTTAAATTACATTCACACAAAGCGGAATATGTAAAGGTCATTACTATTCTCGATATGTATAATGTACAGAATGTTCCGCGTACTTTTCTCATCTTCTTAATAATATTTTCTTTTGGTAATCTGAAATATATATATTTTTCATGCCGCAATCGCGGTAATAAAAACGATAGCCTTGAGAGGAATTATCGCGGGACATTCTGCATATTCGTTATCGAGCATAATTTTTAATAATAAATGAATACACAAGTTTCATATATAGATGCGATATTATTTATATTATTGTTTATACTGTTGATTTACAATAATATAATATAAATACATATAAACAAGTTTTTATATCTTTGTGTTTATCTTTATACCTTTGTATTTATCTTTATTATACCTTTTATCTGTATACCTTTTATCTAAAATGTTTACGTAAACTGTAACGCAGAAAAATTCACTGAGTTGTTTGTATTGTATAATGTGACAAAAGTGCCTCACAGCCAAGTTATAGGGAAAGAAAGAGACAGAGAAAGAGACTCGAGTGTCTGAGAATTCATGTTTATCTATTTAAAAAATCTGTATTTATATTATGTATAAATTCTATGCGCAAATAGAAAATAATATTATATTTATAATAAATTGTTATATTTTTTCAAGTGGATCGCAAAAGGAATGTAGTTAATCTCTTTAAGATTTCTTCATCTTTTTTTTGTACGTATCACCTGCGGTCAATTTTCGAAATTTCTTAATGGCGAGATACGTCATCACCGCGTTTACAATATACGTGCTAACGCATACAACACAGATGTATTTCAACAGATATAATATATGGATTAAGTATATCGAACAAATATTAGATAGTATTCCCAGAACGACAATAGTGGCCGTACAGGCGTAGTTATTAATCATACCTGAAAAGAAAAAAGATTTTATTATTGTTACGTAAGGCGTGTGCACGCATGGACAAGTGTAATCGAATACATACTTAAAACTGCAAACTGAGTATAAAATGCTAAACCATATATAGGATTTGGGACGTTAAACACGGAATCATTTGGGAACAGTCCGAATCCCTTGCCATATCTGAAATAAGAGACGTTATTTTTTTTATTATCTTCTGAAATAATTCTGCGATTATTTACGATCGTCAATTCGAATAATTTTACGATCACGTTATTTCATTTTGTATCTTGTCTAACGTTTATTCTCCTCGCATTTTATGGATCTCGATGTATCGGTTAAAAATTCGCGCGGTTAATACAGCATTATGGCTGAATGCATGCGGTGTCATGTCGCTGCTACTCGGAGTCTGTTTTCTATTGTTGAACTGGCTGCGCTAGTTCAGGAGTTTATCTTTTTCCCCTTCCAGTGTGGAGTTGAAAAAGATAAACTCAGAACTGGTGCAGCCAGTTCAGCAATATAAAACAGACCCTCGATTGCCGACTGCACTTTCTTCGTTCACGATTATATTACACTAGAACACTACTTTGCAAAACTACTAAAGATAAAATAATGATATTCACGTGTGTCTCTATTATCTGAGCCAAAATAATTCTATATACAATTAATTGTTTGTAAGTCAAAAATACCAGCCAAATGAGAATAGTCATTGGACATGTAAAAGTTTTTCATACAACTCATCTTGTTTAGCGACAATCATCTTTGTGTCTTATGTAATTATTGTAATTATTATTCATGACGTATGAATCGACGCGTCGTGATCCTCTGCCTCATAATGCAGAAACTTCTCAATGTTAAATAAAATATTATTTATATATCGATATCATTATATATATTGCCACGTCGTGAAACAATCTATGTCTGAAGTAGTCTATGCCTTCAAAAAATTAGGAGCTACTCAATATATAGTCAATAAAGAAACAATGAGATCGAATAATCGCAATCAGACAACCCATACAGCACACATATGTCCAAAAGCGGGACATGAACTCAAAAAGGATTCGTGAAAACCTTTTTGAGTTCATAACCGATCATCTGTGCTATCTGGGAAGATTAAGCCTGCATTCCGATATTCACTGTCAGTACTGCAAATCTATATTTTACGTCACGTATACTATAGATTTTCAGTAATGAAAGTTGCTGACAATGAATATCGGAATGCAGCCTTAGGCTATGCTCCGATATTTACTGCCAATATTGAAAATTTATTTTAGTATACGTGTACATAAATCAAACTACAGATTTTCAGTACTGCCAGAGTGAATATCGCAACGCAGTCATAGATCAACGCACGTTTAATCACGTTTCCTAATCACGTTAGGGTTGGCGAACCGCCAACACGGCAGACGCTTAAAACTCGCTTACTCAGTCGCAAACACTTTCGTGCAGGTGACGGTCTCGGAGATGTCGCACATCGCCTCGTACGAGTCGTCCTGCTCCTTCTTGGTCTCCACGACGTACGCGTAGTACGACAAACCGAGACCGATCACGCACGCGGACACGATCCCGGCGTTGAATTTTCGTAAGGCGCAATTTCCAGCCGCCGGCATCGTGCTGCGAAACGGTACTCGTCGCGAGCTTCTACTGGATTGTTATCGTTCCACTGTACGCGCGTACAGTCATTGAGCTCGATATCTAACACACTGCAGTGATACGGCCGTGCACCGTGTGTCGTAACTCGTTGAGATTGCTTCGAGATGTTTCGGCGCGGCGATGCGTCATGCTTGAACGAGAGATGGCCGAAGGAGCCGTTACTGACGATCGATGAACGAATAAACATTTATATGCCGAACCTTGGGGTTCGCCGTCGCGTCGACTCAAGCTCCAAGCGTGTGTGCTCGCTAGAGCGGAAAATAGCTTTCCTCACTGGATTACATTTGCATAATTACTCGGGATTATATTTACCACGCGTTGCTTGACGAGTTGAAATCTTTTATTCCTTTCGAGATTTGTACATTACTTAGTAAACTCTAAAATAAGTCTACCTACACATGTACCGTATGACGTATATATTCAAGAATGGAACTAATAGGGAACTCGAGAAGAGAGATATTTATTCAACAGCTACCGCGATACTTTTTAATATCTCCCTACTTGCATCTCTGTTTTAAAACATAAACATCAGTAATCACTTATAAGACTTAAAAATTAAAGGTTTGATCAAAAAATAATTCTGCCTTAAAGTATACACATATCTCGTTCCTAACATAGTTCTTAATATTAATAAGATATTATTTATGTGTTAGTTTTCACGTCGACATGCGGTGTACGCTATGTATTCTTGGAATTTTGAGAAATATGCATGATGGATGAAGGCAATACCTCGGTAAATTAAACGTTAAGAGCGTGAACCACTTAACTAGTTATATAACATATATTAAATTTGACTTGTAAAAAAGATTAATTGTAAGAACCATCAGTTTAGGAAAGCGTTTATCCACATATAATATCTTTCCCACATATTTTAAATATGTCGACTTGAGTTCTTGCGATTTATTCTTGCGGAGCCATCGCCCTGGCCTGAGCTTTAACGCGCTTCTCGTATTCCAAACGATTTTGGCTGCAAAAGAGATGCTCAATTATTCTTCAAGCATTAATGGAGCTTATTAATCACAACATGTCTCATAAGTAAATACCAATATATTGTGTATGCTTCAGCCTGAGCCGGATCCTTCACGTTTGGCTCGTTCAACAAGTCCTGAATACCAAGCAGGATTTGCTTGATCGTGATGGCTGGTCGCCAGTCTTTCTCCTCGTCCAAGAGCGACAAGCAGACAGTGCCGGATGGGTAAACGTTCGGATGAAACAGCGGAGGTTCGAATTTACATTTCGGTGGGCTTGACGGATAATCATCTTTGAAGATCATACGCAACTTGTACAGGCCACCCTCCCACGGAGTCTGCAAAATCATGAGTTTGTGTACGAAATGTGCACAGTCTACTTGAAAATCTACTCGACTTACAGATTTCTTTCCAGGTATCGCGCATTCCCAACTCATCAAGTTGAGGGAGCCGTCTGGATTCTTGGTTGGTCTAGCTACGAAGCCCTGCAAAAATTGTGTTCTTGCGTCATTCAGGAAAAACTCATATACGAATTTTATACGAAAAATAGAGCCAACGTTTCTACGAGAGGCCTCTGACGATTTTATGGGATTTTAATAGCACGAAAACATCAAAATAAGTTTCTCGAAATTTTTGTAATTGTGTTTTACAAGTGTTATAACGTTTATGATTAATTAACTCATTTTCTGTCTTTTTCTATGAATAAAATTGGAATTGTTCACGTGAAAAATATTTAGTTGAGATAAAGTAGATGAAATTGAATGTCAACTCTTTCTCGCTTTCGACGACATCGGCCTGGAGCTCGGGGCGCCACGCGAGCCGATTGTTTACAATCGCGCATATTCACGACGGATAATCATGATCGGGGATAGCGTTCCGCGCGCGCCAAGCGGGGGGGACGGCTTTTGATGGCGCGTTCCCGCGGGAATCGCGCGTGCACGTAGCGAGGCGCGGAAACTTACGAACGGGTGGTCCTTCCTCCATGCCTTTCGCTCCTCGGCGAGCCTGGCGATCGCTATGCCTGACATTACGTCTGCGACGACGCGGCGATTTTTTTTCGGACGGGAGACACTCACGCGGCCGGACGACGCGAAACGACACACCGCGCGATCACTTAATCACGTCTGCGACGTGCTCCGCCTTCGTGGACAGACTCCTGCCTACGGAGTTTAAATATTTTGTCGGTCGTAGCCGACAGACGAGTCCGCCAAATGCGTTCTTCGCAATCCTCGCAAGGGTGCTGCCGTTTGCCAGCTAGAGGGCTAGAGGGTTACACGCCGACCGCGTTCGTGAAAGCGTGTAGTACGTACGGTTAGGATTTAGGATCGCAAGAGGGATTTTTTAGTGGATGAACTGACCATATAACGGCCGGCGACTCGGTCGATAAGGAAGGACGATTTTTCCGGACTAAATGTGCAGTCGCGCGCCAATAACGTGGACCGAAAACTTGTCCAGATCAGTGATTCGTTAGTCCAGTATTTAATCGCACGTGGCTCGCAATTTGAAAAGTTGCTGATTAAATATGGAAGACAGATATGAATCGTTTAAAAATAGTTTTAGCAAAAAAACAAATTTATGAATTTTATGGTTTAGATTAGTAACGTAAATTAATTTGCTCATGTTACATATTGAATGATTTCTATAAACAGTCACTCTCAATTTTTGATAAAATTATAGCATTAATTCAAGAAACATAGAACTACACCCAGATAGCAAAAAGCTTGTAAAAAACGTTTAAAGGACGTCCGAAGTCCTTTAGACGTTTTTAAAACGTTTTTAAGAAGTCTTTCAGAAGCTTTTGCTAGCTGCGTAGTTTTACGTCATATGCCTTGATTATTTATACCATCTTTGAATTTTATTTCTGTTAATAAATTATTTCTGCAAGTGTATTTTCATGTCAAGATTTGGCAAACAAACCTATTAGACCTATTATTCGATATTTATATTGTGGGTTTGCGTGATGAAATTTTTTTCGATCTTTTATTTTTACATTGCTTCAGTTTGTTCACTGAAATCATCACTATTTTAAATAATTTTGAATAACTTGATTCCAGTGCAATCACTTCCAAAGTAATAAAAAATATATTTTTATTAAATAATTTTTATGTGAAGATATTGAAAAATATATTACTTGAAAATGTCTTAAAAACGTCATTAAGACATTTTGTGTCCCGATTTTGGACATTGTTTTGTCTGTAATTATAGACAATGAGGAATAAAATGCCATAAACTCAATAATATTGCCGCAAACATTTTTACGGTGTTTTTACGCGAGCGTCGCTTGCCGGCTGACGCTGTAGGTTCCACTCTGTTTGAAAAATGTATTATCACAATACGGCTGCATCAGGCATCAGGTAGATCACATCTCCGCCGCTGTTATCGCGCAATATGTTCATTACACGTTAAGCCACCGTTTTAGTTATCCACCTGCTGACACGCCGAATACAGCTTCTATTTTCTCATTAGCATCACTGTCATTCTTCATATGACGCCCATCGCGATCGCGTATGTGATACCAGTCCGTCGCTAGGTCGACATCGAGTTAAAAAAGAAAAGTGACATCAGAATTCCATTTCATTTCTTTTATAAATATGTATCAAACTTTTGTTTTTCGGAAATAAGTATATTTGTTTGGGTGAACAACTCGTCAACATCGATATTTATTTACGGTATTTTAATATTTTACACGCGATGAGAATGACAGTGCAACGAACTTTTCTGTGAGTATTTAACTTTTGCTTTTTTTTCTGGATCTAATACTGCATGGATTTTATTATAGTTATTAAATCAGTTGTACAGGTATCTTTATAGCTTTTTTAGATGATTGTACGATTAAACTGAGTGGTAGTAAATCGATTTGTGACGCACGCACGAAATCTTAAGAATGAGTTAAAGATTTTATGACATATTACAATATAATTAATTATTAACAATTATTAGTTAATTATTAGTTAATTATATTAGTAATTATTAATATAATTATTATTAATAATTAATCATATATTATTTGTCAAAGAACGTAATTAATATGATTGAATTTTGAAGCTATCTTGAAATATCACATCTATTTTCATTGATTTAGATTTCTAAATAAATATTATGTGCCGTGTAAATGATTTTACGTTTATGTAGATAGAAAAAGGCACACTTAATGATTAATATGTAACGTTAAATTTGTAATCGAGTTCTTCGTGCGAAGGACGGTCCACCGTTAAGCCGGAGAGATAACTGTAACAATATTTGCATGATATTTAGTATCAGCGCGGCAATGTTACGTTGACAATCAAAGGCAAGATCAAGGCAGAAAGATTTGCGTCGCGTGATTTGTTCATTGAGCATGCTTGAGCATGAAACTGGAATTGTTTGGCAAGAGCGGCGGCTAATCGATCACGAAAGTGTTTCAAAGAACTGATAAGCTAAGACGATCGTGATGCGCGTCAAAACCGAGAAGATAATAAATGCGTGATATTAAATTATGTATACGTAAGTCGGTTAGTGCTGACGAGTATAACGGTACATCGATCTCGTTATCGCGCCTTGCGCAAATAATGAAGCTGCCAAGTAATAAAGATTATAAATCTCTCACGCTAGCCTACATCCACCCACTTTCGTCGCACGTCTTCGCGAGAGAGTCCACGAATTGTGTAACATTGTTAAACAAATTGTTACTTATTTACGATCAAACAAAGGATAAATTATATGTCTCGCGCGATCACGCACAGATGTTAAATATGTTTAGATATGACGAACGCATGAAGTTGATATTGATTTCATGAAGAAGCATGTACCTATCGCGGAGATAACTCGATCCGCGTCAATTCGGCTCCTCCAAATTCCTCCGCGGTTAAACAATCAAACTGTTTTATTTACAGAGTCGCACTCTTCTTTATGCATGTAAATTTGTTGCATGGCTTTACGAAAGACGATGATATTTGTTATCGACATCGTCCACATATCGACGATCATCCCGAATGCAATTTTGTAAAAGATCGGCAACTTCTCGTTTGTTTTAACGGTCTTAAAGATGAATGGAGAGCAAGGTAAGTAATGATGCTGGAAAACCTAAAATGTAAGTCCTACATTTTCAAATTTGGTGATCATCGCGCTTGGTGCTTCCTTGACATAAAATTGAAGCTTAATTTTATATTGTTCGACAGTATATTTATTTGATATTTCGATGCGCTTTTAAGAGAGCAAAATAATACTGAATTTTCAGGGCCGAACATGTACACGTACTTATTCTTTGCGCGTGGCCGAAGGCAACGTTTAACCCGCAGGAGATTTTACGGGGATTCACGTTCTTACGAAAATTAATGATTGCGAACAGTAACTTAACTCGATTGTCAACCGCATTTCCGAGCGAGATGCAATTTCTGGAGGTAGAGAATGTGCTTGCCAAATGCTTGCTGGAGAGCAATCGAAAGCTTTGTCTAGACTTCGTTAAAGTTGCTTTTTCGAATTTTCATGGACAATGGGCGTGATAATTGACAGTTTTTTCATCAAACGTCATTTCATCAAAGAATAAAAATTAAATAGACTGTCTCGGAAGAGATATTGATCATGAAAATTCGTTTTCGTTGCAAGATATATATTTTTGCTTGCATTTTTATCTCGAGAATATATTTACGAGAGTTTGGAGGAAGATGTTTGTATCGATAGAAAATCAATGTGACCGGCACCAAACTGCGTTCCCTACCGAAAGATGCGTTCTCCAATCTGCGGACTTTGAGGTGTCTTGATTTAAGAAACAATACTCTCGGAGAGATTAATATTACGGCTTTCGATATACCTGCGTTGAAACACATTTATCTGGCCGGTAAGAGTAACTCGATGAAGTTTTTATAAGAAACTACAAAAATTTTCGTCAAATAAATAAATTACAATTTGAGAAAACGTGGCTAATTGAAATTATATTACCTTGTGTGTAAAACGCCATGCGATACTTTTGTAATACTGACACCTTTTTATGTAATAAATTGTCTGATGAAAATTGCGTTCGATTGATGCGCGAATAGTGGATATAATTAATGAAGATGTACTGACGAAGGTAATCCATTGAGATGTACGGAAGATGTAGCGTGGATTTTGGACTCCAGTGAAGGATCAGCCGCGAGTAAAGTCGTCGACAAAGACAAATTACTTTGCGCCACGCCGTATGATGGAAGACCGCTTGTCCCGATCGTCGAGATAATCGCGGTAACGAGAAAATATATCCTTTTCTTGTAATTGATGATTAAACGGCTCCTCGAGTTCCCGTTGAATCAATCTGATTTTCAGACATTGAAAAAGGAATGCAAAAAGACGGTTTGCGACTGCGAATTGATTTATGTGGTTGGTGCGGGCAAACTTACGCAGAGGCAGCTTATAGCTTTTACCTCGGTCAACTGTAGCCATCGCGGTTTAATGGAAATGCCTAATTTTTTACCTGCAGATACAACGACCCTTCGCCTAAGTGGAAACAAGGTCGTTTATTCACGCAATTAATTTTTACCCAAAAAATCGCGTCGTACAAAATATATTATTTAAAATTATTACAGACGTGTGATTCATTGATACGATTTGTAAATATATTTTGAAGCTTATATCAATATAAACTTACTATTTGTTTTGAAGAATAAATACAAAATATCGAATTTCTTTTTACTTTTTTTTACATAACGTTTACATTTTGATACATTTATATGTTACGTTGCTGGTAAAGGGATTCATTATATTATGTGGTAAATACTTTTAATCCCCATCTCTTGTTTACTGCAGATCAAGGACCTAACTCCGCTTACGACAAATCCTGCTTACAAGTCCGTGCGGGACCTCTACATAGACGATAATCTGGTAGAATCTATCGCTCGGCTTGAAGGATCAGACTGGCTGGACCGTTTCCGTCTCCTTAATCTTCGAGGGAATAAACTTACCGACGTTAGTTGGCCGATGTCAAAGTTATCCGATGTCACGCGAGAAGACAATCTGTTTCGCATGACGGATGTCGGAATGAGGAAAAATTGTTCCGAGTTGATTTCGTGCGGCACGGTAGACGATTAAGAATCGAGATACGCGATTTAAGACGATTGTGAAGTATCACGCGCGCGCGCTATTCTACGTCAACGTAGCGCGTTGCTATTTCATAAGTGCACGAAACTACAGACACAGTTTATGATTCTTTGTTCTACGTGTCTTTCAGTTACCTACTTACGCTCTGGAGAACGCGTTGCTGCACAATAACAATGTAGCTGGCCTGTACCTCGGCAATAATTCGTGGGCATGCGACTGTCACTTTACACCAAGCTTTCAGGTATAATTAAACTGATATTATATAATTTGCACATAAATTTTTAAAGTAATTGCCAGTGTTAAGATTGGCGTAATTACCGCTTTGTTCAAGTAAGTTTGACATTTTTTTTACTTTAATCGTTTTAAATTAAAAAAAAACAAACAAATAAATAGAAATAGTGATATAAATAAAATAATATTAAACCCAAATTCAGATTTCCAGTATTAAGTGTTCACAATGTATTTGTTTGCTTGAAAAAAATTCCGTTCTTCTAATTTTAAAAAAGTTTGTATAGTTATTTAAAAATTTAAATATAGTTAGCATAAATAGATTAATCATTAGGTATTATTTTAGTCGTATGCTTCTATTTACCTTTTTGCAGGATCTTCTGATCAGGCATTCAAATATAATAAAAGATATCAACGACATAAGGTGCGCTTTTACGAGTGACAGCGATAACTCAAACAAACAGGTAACCAACTGCACGTCTTTTCTATATTAAGTCAGATTGGAAAGCAGATGCATGAATAATGCAATTAAGATATGCAATTGCGTTGCGCTTTAACGCTTAATAAAATGACCCTCACAGATCCGCGATCTTACGCGGACGGAGATTTGCATTTCACCAGACGAAGATTCTTGGCTTCATCCCCTCGACATTTTGAACATCGTATTGGCGTCATTAATATTTCTCGTGCTTGGCAAGCTTTTGTACGATTACTGGTCTTTTAAGAAAACCGGGAAGCTACCTTGGATCGTCGCCAAAATACCATGATAGCGGTACAAGTGCCTCTTATCCCTTGCAAAAGAGCTATCAAGTGTTTGATCATTAGAATAACGATGGAGATTGTAGCGGAGGGATGAATATATCCGCATAAAAATATTCCTTTACTTACAAGATCTTCGACGTACACACTTTTTTCTTGTAAATTTAGTAACTAACTTCGAATTTAATTAAACTTTTTTAACATAAATAATAAATGAAGACGAGATACGAATATGTGTTTAGATCGAACAAAAGATTTCAATTAGAAAACTTCCATTAACTGTTTATATGTATTTTGACGTTTATTTAAAATTTATTATTAAAGATAAACCAAGAGAATAAGTAGTAGATTATATCGTAATAATACGCAAATTTGTGAGTTTATACTGATTGCTGTTCTGCAGCCTCACAAATATATTTCTGATACAAATTTTCAGCAGCAGCAATCTTAGCGCTATCGCCTCTCACTCCTTGTCCTACAAATAATATTAAATTATTAGTAAGTATTTTTTGTATTTTCTAACCAGATTATATTCGATGGTGATAAGATAAAATAATAACGTACCAATTCCAACACGCCCTAAAGCTACGCATTGAGCTGTGTACATAAACCCTTGATTTGTTTTCGCCTTGCGAATAGTATACTTCGGAATGGATTCCCCTTTCTCGAGACAAGACTTGTAGAGTTTTTGCAACGCGTTCTTCAACTCGTCTTTATTAAACGCTGTTATATCTAACATCCTGACACAAAGAAAGTGTATCAAATTCTATTTTGCATAAAGTATATTGTTTTTCGGAGCGTCGCTCCGATAAGTTTTATATCATCGAGAAATCCATATCCTAATTTCTCATGTATTTTTGCACCATTAAACTTACTCCGCCCTCGAGAAGTCTAGTAATTCGCGCGAAAGTTTCGAGCCATCCATCTGACACTCGGCTATCATCCACAATATTTTCGCTGCCAATTTGTTTTTTGCCAGATCTTCGGTCGCGGCACACGACATTGCTGGCACATTATCCAAACTATGTTTAACAACGTGTAAAGAAGCACTTGCAACATTTTATATGTCGAATTTATAAACGACAATTAAAAGTTATTGAAAAACGATTGTTAAGGAATAACTGCAGTGAATAATCTGCACTGTTACTGGATAAGAAAATAATGCTCAAATGCGCGCATGATGTGGGTGATAATGTTCTATGTAATCTGTTTGTACGAAGTATTTACCGCTAAATCCACACAGGTCACCGTTTATTACGCACAGATTCGGTTTCAGTTTGTACTCGTATTTGATTGACACTTTGCACCGCTTTGCGTACTCCTCAAGGATAGTCCACGGTGACCGACGATTCGCAGTTGCCGCAGAACTTTTCGCGACGCTGTCCTATATTATTTAAAAGTTTTTTTTTTACTATAAAGCAACAGACGTGATTTTAGATAAACCAAATTTATATTTTATCAACGTGTTATTACGTGGATAAAAAATTGGGTAAAATAAAAAAATTAAGAAATATTTATTAAGAAATACTTTAACCCTCTGTTGCAAAAAATTGTTTTGCAATATTCCGTGCGCTTTATTTTTTCATCTATATTACAAATATAACATAAGTAGGTATCTCAATACCTGTAAGTTTTCAATTACTTTTTTATCGATTTTGTCACATTTGTGATTATCATTGGCCATCAACGGGTGATTTTCTATATTTCTGTCGATATTTGGCCGAGTTTCCGAATCGTTATCATCTGGAGACAATTAAAGTAAGATTTATTTGTGTCATCAATTGCGAAATTAATTTTATACCTTCCATATCATCGTGCCATTCTCGCAATGCATTATCAGTCACTTTCGTCCATCCTTCCAAACTATTCGTTTCAGCTATTGCTGTCATTAGCCCTATATTATAAACACAATCGTGCATTGAAGCAAATATAAGCAGTATTATAAATTTTCCTATGTTCGCGAATATCTCTGTAAGACTGTATTTTTTTTTCTATATCACACTCACTTTCTTCCGAACTAATACCGATTGCTTTGTCAGCATTATTCTTTGATTCCTCCTGAGAATTGTCACATTTATTCATCGTGCTCGTTTTGAAATGTTGAACAATCTCGTCGACTCTTGAAGGTGAATTCAAATGATATCCTTGACAGGGATGTTTCTTCTCGCACTGAATGGATTGTTCACTACAATGTTGAGACTCTAAATCCACCTGCTTCTCGTGAATATCGTGCACCATAAATTGCGTTTCAGCATTCTCGGTGGCTTCGCGATGTTCCGAAATCTTAGAAAAAGAGGCACGTATATATATAATATTTTTTTTTTCATTTAATGCAGCAAGCAACCACAGCGTGTAACAATAAGCGAGAAGTGTTACGGGGAATCTACGTACATTCGTTTCTTCGGCGAACGATTCTATGTCGGATACCATCGAAATCGTCGCGTTAGATTCCCGGGAATCCGGTGTGTGAAACGAGCTGGACGTGTCTGCAATATCAAATGAGCGTCAGATCCGGCGACCTGAGCACACAAGTCGGACAATATTGCCATGTTGTAAATTTTAGATTCGGAGAATCGCTGAAATTTCTAGAATACACTTGAAATCGCACGACATGAAGAGTTGTTACGCGTAATAATTTGGCAAATACATAAATTGTACACATTACATTATAAATAATAGGAGGCGTGGATGCAGCAATTTAGCAAATCAGCTTACGCGATCGCGCTGCGCCAGAGATTACATCGCAAATTTTCGAATAAGCACTCTTTAATCATTAAACGCTAGATTTACAAAATGGAGCAAATGAAGGATTATTCCAGATAACAATTTGCTCAATAAGTCCGTGGCACACAAATGAAAGGATAAATGAATGTAGGTCGCGCGCGCGAGCGCGCGCGATATATATCATACACATTTCTATGAAAGATAAATCTTCCTCGTGAATAAATTATTTGTGTGTTTCCCGTTCTATCATGTATACCATTAATTTAATAACGTGATAATTACAATGAGGTTAGCCGAGTGCACGAATAAACGCTGGCTATTTGCATAATTGGATCACGCTATTGTAACCATTAATTTCAAGCTTAAGCTCGTTATTTTAAACACGTTAAAATCGTAATAAAACATCGTTAAACTGGGCGTACTAAAATTCTCCGAGATTGTTTGTCAGTTACGCGTGTGCACGACACGGGAAAACATCGAACCCCCGGCGGGGCCCCGGGGGTTCGAGGGAAATGCGTACCATTTTCCTGATGAGCGCAAGGCGTTTTGAGCTGCTGCAGCAAATCCTCCGCACGTTCGATCACCGTTTCCATCTCGCAGAGGAGCGGGGCCGCGTTCGGGAATCGCCGTGTGATCGTGTCCCAAATGACGTCGGCATCCTCGACACCGTGCAGAGATCTCGGTGGTTCCAGCTTGGCGTGTATCGCCGTGTCGGTGAACGATTCGCTCCCGCTGGACATTCGAGGATCCTCTTCCGTCTTTTCGCGAGTCTGTCCGCGACGCGATGAATATTTCATCGAGATTCGGGGCGATAAATCTACCGGGTTGTATAGGCGAGCGATTTTACATTTTTCGTGGACGGAAAATTGACGGATGGAAGACGTCAAGAGGCAAACAACGTAGGAGCGCGATGTTGTCCTCTGATCGCGATGTACCGTGCATGCCACTCCGCGGTATGAATTTTTCGGGTCGTATATGAATAAAAGTGAGGCAGAACGTTGCTATTAGTAGTCAGAAGATCGAAACAGGGGCATTTATATTGAAGATTTTAAAGCAAAATTGTATTCTGTGTTTTGTAGGGCTTTTATATGAACGCTCTGCTTTTATTACAAAGCACAGTCGCTTTGCATTTTAAAATTATTTTTATTACGGTAGCTATAGATACTATCCACATAGAATCGTGTAATATATGTACAAGTTAAAAATCTATTCATAATTTTGTAGAATATAAAATAATAACCTTTGAAAAAAATTGCCAACTAAGCCGATCACGTTTTTATCAAAAAGTTTGCTCTCGGAAATAGCTTCCGTTTTTTATATCTACCTCTGCAAAATATACTGCAAATTTTTTTAGCGAAATAGGTGCTACAATATTCTATATCTATATTTTTCTATTATCTATATTTTTCGAAGAATTTCCTTTCCAATTATTTCTAACGGACAAGGATTAAACAAAAAAACTTTTTTTTCCATTATAATTAGTGCTACGCTGTTATTTTCGATGTCGCGAAATTTGTATATTAAAGACGAGGTATCGTTTTGCAAAACATCTTAAAAATATACAAGAGAACGAATAAAAGTGGCACTACGGCCTGATATGAATTTATAAACTTAAATCAGAACTAGAATATAAATAGTATTACTTTTCAAGAAATTGCGATTAAGAGTCCCTACAATCGTCAGAGGAAAATTTATGGCGAGGAGAATTGACCTAAATATCAAAAGTTTTTGGACCTTTATACATAGTGGACGAGAAAAAGGGACTACCTTCAGCAAAAATTACAATTCGTTTAAAACATTTTTTTATCTCCATTCTTTTGTAGATGTTCCTTAAATTTATTTCTTCTATTAACTATTAACTATATTTTTTTCGCAGTGAATATCAACTATGTTTAAATTAATATTTACTTGAGAAAATAGAAATTTTTGAAAATAAGGACGATAATTTGGAGATTCTTACGTTCCAACGGTGAATAATTCTTCTGGCAGTCATTCGTTCATTACATAGATTTATGTAAAAACAGAACTTTGGACATTGGATCATGTGTCTTCATATAATTTTTCATGAGTATAAAATGTATTCGGAGAGAAAGTTGTTTCTGAGGAAGAACGAAACGATAATAAATTGATCAATAATGCACTTGCTCACGGCTGATCTGCTGGGTTTCTTTAACGCGATGGTATTTTATTAAAATTATAAACACGGGATTACAATACATCGTGTAACGCGTAATACTTGCTTAGAAACGTCGTTGAATCAAGGCCTCTTTGATTCAAAACTCTTTACCATCCACTTTTTTTTTTAGCTACGTGTGTGCGAGCCAGTTTGTGCTACGGCATTTTTTTTCCTTTTTTTTGGGTTATTTTTTTTTTTCGTGTACGTTCTTACATACATGCATAGTACTATAGTTTCGTAATCGTAGGACGCATTCTCGATTGAGCGCGACGTGGAGTCGAGTCGTACCGTATAAATCCCATATGATGACTACACGCTCCACAGTTTATAGATTCATATCCGCGTCGGAAGAATTACTCTCTCTCTCTTTCTCGATGCTGATCCGCCTCGGCTGCGCGGCGACGACTTTCCGCGGATGCTTTTTAAAGGGTCGCAACCAACATTTCGGTGCCGAGAAAGTTGCCGGAGAAAATAATATAAATCGTCGTTCCCTTATGAATAGAAAACGATGCGTCCCACAATGTTTATTACGTCGGTCTCCGTCGTCGAAGGACTTGCGCGTTTACTTATTTATATAGATTTATTTATCGCGAACCGCGGGAAGAACCACCGAGTCGAGGATATATAAAAAATTTCGTGTGAAAGGCTTCCTCTTCTTTTCCTTTTTGACGGTACTTTACGTAAAGGGAGAATCGGGGAAAAGTTTCTTTTTCGAAAGGAAGTCACCTCGGTTACCTCGGTGAAAAAAACAACTTCGCTATTTCACGGCTAGATAATGGCGCGCTTAAATTAATTTCGGACTTTCGATATGTTGAGAGTAAATTTTCAACGTGTCTTTTAATGTGGCAATCGCGCGGTTAACACATCGAGGAGCCCGGCGGGTGTGCACCATGCAGTTTCGCTTCTGTCGCACGCTACAGTTATTCGCTAGTACGTTACTCGTTATCGGATTCCGCGTCTTATATAGAGTACAGAACGTCATATATTCGGACAGCTTTTCGTATTCGGGTAGAAAGAGAGACTTATAAAACTTTATGAATAAATAATAATCGCGGCAGTATTCGTTGATAGACGATGTCCTTAGGTAGTGAATTATTCACGGAGCAATTCATGAGACTGGCAAAAAAATATCTTAACGCGACCGACGTCTCTGCAGAATTTTCAAACTGTGACACAAACAGTGTATATATAAGTTCGCAAAAATATCATATCGTATCAAAATACTGCAAATTAATAAACTGCGATAAAAACATCGAAAATTGCAAGTGCAGTTTTAATTTAATTACGGTTCTTATGTGAGACTTTGCACAATTAACTATTGTTTAAAATAATGAGATATTAAACATTTTTTTCAATTCGAAATAGATAGAAAAAATTACGAATATATGTAATATAAAATCGAATCGCTTCTTATTGTGATAATTTTCTATGTTTTTAAAAAAGAAGTATATAAAATTTTACTTTATCCTAATTTGATTAGGTTTTCTTTAAATATATAATATAATAATATTTCAAACTCTTATTTTTTTTCGACTTATATCGCCTTTTCGCCCAATGGCTCGCTACAAGTCTGCTTTAATCAATTTTTCTCAAATTTTTTATCAAACTACGCACATTACGTTCGAAAAAATCGTGAGTTTTTGCATCGCGGGTTTGGACTACACATCGCGTGTCTTCCCGATACGATTGACGATCTAGAAATTACAGGCTGCGGGGCCGCGTTAAGATATCGATCTCGCCAAGGAAAATTGCATTGAAGGGTCGTGATTCATCTTCGGCGATGGACGTTTCCGAGGATGCGCATACGCGAACGTGAAATTTACGCGAGAGATTTATTTCCGATTGTTGATACGCTTACTTCTATCACAGCATACAGACGTACGTTAGACGTGCTTTACCATACAATGTCTATTAATAGGCTAACGCGTGGAGACTGCGCGTCCATTTGCTTAACGTTTCATTTGCTTAACAGGATTACGATGTACACGCTCCTGTGGCATCCAATTAATTACACGTGGGTATCTACGTCTTATTCAAGCCGCGCGTATTACCGAACCTAGATTATACGAGTAAATTATCTACGTATCACGTCGTCTCCCATAAATCACCTATGAAGTTCAAAATATCGAAAATCACGGATAATATAAAAATGTTTGTTGGATCGACGTTGAATGGAGTGAGACCAGCGACCCGATTATTGCATCGTAATGCGCGAACACGTCACAGGTGTGTTACTAATGTATTATACAATAACACAATATAATGCATTATAATTCAGTTATAATATAATATAATTAAGACTGTATCAGAGATTGGCATCAGGTAATAATAATCAGAAAAGGTAATAATAATCAGAATAATCGCAGAAAAGCATTTTGTGAGACGAAAGTCGATTCGGCTTTTTTCATTAAAGTCAATCATTTGGACCCGATCATAATGTCACGATGTCAGATTGCAAATGATCTTAATATTCAATTAAATCCTAAAGTGATAAGAATTTTAACGGTTAATACTTTTTAATAGTACATAATATAAAAACAGACAGTCCAGTGCAGTCACTCTAATTTAGAACAATGCGTAACGTAAGTAGTCCAAGCCTACGGCTAGTCCGGCCGTAGGCCGAAATCATAGGTGATCTAACGAGAAAATCAGGCTAGACGGGTGTGAAGCGCGTGAGTCCGATTGTAACGGTCATCGAGATAGATCTCGCGCGAATGTCAATGATCTAATCCTCCTTAATCACGGTTAACTCCTTATCAATTTTTTTCCCCTGGATCTCATGTTAGAATGCAACGTGGTGTTACCGATAAGTGCGAGTCGTCGCGACGCACGCGTTCAAGATCAAAGGAGTACAAATACATTCGACCTCGGTACAGCCGCAAATATCATTCGAATGCCATTCGCGGTATCGTTTTTGCGTATCCTCGCGTATCCTTTCCCGTCCATCGCGTCGTCATTCACATGTAAAGCTATCTAAAACGCTTCTCTCGTACTTTAGCACTCGTCTATTCTCAATTCCTCTCCATTTCTCGTTACTTTTATCATCGTACTCGCGTCGTAGACGTTTACGATGTTCGCTCGATAACCGACAGAAAGTGCACTCAACGGAAACAGCGTGTCCTACGTCTCTTAGAAGCATTGCGTACGCGTAAACGCCAATTTCACCGCTCTTCGTCCACTCGCGCGCGTATCTTTCTTCTCTTTTCTCTTTACTCCTAAATCGTGTGTATCTAAACCTACCATGATACTGCGGTGTTTATCGTAAATGCCATAAACACGAGCGTACGAGGTGCGGTTATATCTACCTTTCATCGTGACTCCTTTCTGGAGGATTACAGGCGTCCCATGGTATCCATTCTCGGCGCGACAGGCTCGGGCGGTTATCATCCACCCCGATCTAATGTGTCGAATCGTGATCCGCTTATTCAAAGCAAGTCGATCGTTATGATTTGATTAGAGGAATAGAACTCGACTACGTTCGCCACCAGCCAAGTGGCTACAGCACGTCTCGTGCGCTCGCTTCTATGCGCTTCGGATATATTCTACGGGATTTTCGTACGATTACTGCGAGAGTATGTATACGTGTGTATGTGTGTGCGCACGTGTACGTACCCATGTGCGCAGGTAAGTCTGTATGTGTACGTATGTGTGTGTGTGCGTGTAACGTGTGTTTTTTGGGATGGGAGTGTTTGGCTGCCGTACACTCCGGTCCGCTACTCAGGGGAGGTTGATGGGAATTGGAGGAGGGAGGGCCCAGAGCGAGGTAGGCATTTAAAAATCATGACTATTCACACGGTGGTCTCGATATTGGCGATGGCGTATTGTCAACAAATACTGTCCTTCCCGTAATTCTCCAGGTACATTTCCTGGGGCGTGGCTAGGTTGTAGCGTCCGCTCAACCGGCTCCCGGTCAAGCCGTTGTTGTGATGAGTGTGATTCACATGGAGATGATTGACGTTCAGGGCGACGTTCTTCTTCTTTTTACGCGCCTTGTGCCGATAGAGGCAATACTTGAGACAACCAGTGGCCAGCAGGAGGATCAAGAATATACCGAGGGCACCGGCGCCCACCGCGACGTAGAGCAGCGTCACCCCGAAACGATACGAGCAGTTAGCCTCTTCCTCGTCGAAGCCCGAGGGACAATGACGTACGCCGTCGCACCACAGGACCGAGCTGATACACGCCTGGATCTCTGGACACCTGATGAACAGAAAGAGAGATGTCGAATTAAGCGATTTTATTCCTATTAAACTTTGACTTATCTCACAACATATAAAGAAGCTGAGTTTTTTACATAATAGAAATCGCACAACGAACCTGTACGGACAATCTTCCGCGGGTAATATGGTAAACGCGTTGGCGCCCGAATTGGGCGCGGCTGGTGAACGTTTGGAGATCGCGATCCACGTGACGGCATAGAAACCGGGTTCCCGCTGGAGAAACTCCACGACGAAGCTGCGAGAGTGCTGCGCCATCGCCACACTCGCGTTCACGGCGCTGTAATTCCAGCCACCCGAGAAGAAGTCGACGGTCCTGGCCGTGTCGACCCCACCCTCCGGACAGATCACGCTGCGCTCCTTCGTGTTCGCGGCCGAGTAGACGACGATTCGATTGAGAGTCGTGCACTCCATGACGTTGTCCAGGGTGATGCCATAGCCGGCGGTTCTCAAGTACAGGAAATTGATGCGCGCGTCCTCGGGCTCGATCAACCACGGCTCGTTCACACATTGCGTCGCCGTTAGATCCTCTGTGTTCGTCAGAATCTCCTCCACCGCAGCTAGACCAGGGATCACTCGCGGCAGAGGACTCCTGAGAGAGATCTCACCGCTTGTGCCGCGCAATCGTCGCTCCTCGAGTCTCGTCGAGCATCCGTGCTCGCTCGATTCCGCGCTCACCGGAACGAAACGGTATTCCCCCTCGAAGAAGAAGTCTCGGTAATCCTGGGTGACGTTCATGAGCGTGATGGTAAACCTGACCTCCACCACGTTCGATGTCAGGGTCCGGACGACGATTCTCTCGCTCACGTTTGAGCACAGACAATCGCGAACCTAAAAGCGGAAAATTACAAGGCTCATGAAGAGAGTTATAGAATTATAAATATAAAAATATTCAACTGTAATTATTTGGAAACAAATTGTCCGGGGCTTTAATGTCTCTCTCAATCTTTCTAGAGATTAATTTTTAAAATACCTTTAATAAGAAAGGCAGAGAGATAGATTAAAAATTATAATAAATAAATTAAATAAGAAAAAGAATTTTATTATATTATACGCACCAGTTCGACTCCTTGCCAAGGATATTCAGCGACAACAAGATCCGCCATGCCGAATTTCTTAACATCCGCCATACGGCGGTCGCACGTCCATCGATTCACCAACGGGTCCACGTAAGACGCGCAGCTCTTGCCACCGAAGGAAGCTCTGACGAAGGACAGCTCTATTCTATGATCAGGCTCGGCTTCAAATCTGTACGAGCAGCTCAAATTCTGCGCCCCACCGCGACCATAGAAGAACACGTTTTTCGGCGACGCGAATTTACCGGCGTTGGACGATAAGGAAGATGAGGAGGATGAGGACGAGGAGGACGATAAAGACGACGTGGAAGACGTAGATGAGGCTGACGGCACCGAAGTGAACACGTGGTTACACGAGATGGCCTCGTGGACGAACTCGTAGCGCAGCACGAAACTTATCGGATACAACGCGCTACCCTGGCGCAATATGTGTTCCAGGGTGAGATCGCGGCCGGTCGACACGTAACTCTCCGCGAGGCTGCACGGCCGCGTGTGACGGCTGCTGTTGCGCAACAGACTGTGATCGCAGAGTCGCGGTATGTCGTCCTTACAGAACTGCCCCATCAGCGTAATGTCGGTAATGTTCTGTGAAATTATTACGAGATGTGTGTCAGATAAGAATGCCGAGTCGTATTATCATAACTTGACGAAAATTTTGTTACGTAACGTATATTAATATGTAAAGAACCTTCGATGTTATTTTAATAGTTATATCCTTAGATTTCGAGGAAGAAATTTTGTAATTGTTTATTCCCCTTTTGCGAGATATTTAGATTATGCAATTCTTATTCGTGGATTCAAAGCACTCTTTTCAGAATTTGTGTTTGTATCTATATTACTTTACTAACGAAGTTACTTTAGTAACGAAGTTATATTACTTCAGTAACGAAGTAAGAAAGTTGCTAAGTAACAGACTTTGTAGAGAGAGGGGATACAATTTGGTACGTACTTTTCGGTTGGAAGTAAGTTTGTCCACTGTGATATCACCATCCCATATCAGAAGCTTTGCATTGCAATCAGCGGCAGTGTCGATACTCGCAGCAGCTTCCACGCTGGCGGCGTAATATTTAACGAACGATAACCAAACGATTTCATTGAGTTTCCCTTGGAAGTGATAACGACAAGTTGTGTTCGGCGGTAAAGAGTGCTTCGGATTTTCCAGAATGCCAGACGAGTTTTCATCACCGGATATATAAAAATCGCAGTTGTCGTTTTCCTTCACAAAACTTCGAGACTTTTCGTCGACAAAGATCACCTGTACACACGTGAATGTACATATATAAAAAAAAAGAAAACATCAATAAATTGTCGGCTATATTTAATTTTTATTTATATTTAAATCAAACTTTACATTTTAATGATCTACAATATCAAAATAATTGCAAATAAATAGTTCTACGAATTGCAACTTTCATATTTTCGCAACAAACTTGTGACGAGATTACGTAATAAGATATATAATATCACGGGATCCGGGAGCATTACCTGAACTTCGAGTTCAAATCCTGGCAGGAAAGACAGTGGCACTGGATGAAACGGATTGTCGTACGGGGACGTGTGGAACTCTAACAACATGGTATTGTGACTGCTGATGATGTCTGGCACCGCATCTCCCCCGCACAGCCTTACAAGCACTCGGTCTGAGGTTGAACCTCCATCGTATACCGTTAAGTAATCCTGCACGACGTTGCACTGATCCCACACCCTTGAAAAGCGCGTGAATTTTACTTGGAAAATCTAGTCTCTGTATATTACACTTGTCCTCCTTGCGCATCTCTGTTTCTCTATCTTTGAAAAAACCTTTCGCACAAAGAGGTATGCTCGCGAAATTATTGACGACGTATTAAATATCAATTTGACATATTGTATTAACTTTCTGTATTAATATTAACTTTATTAGCGTCATTAACATGGCGATTTACCTTAGTACTCGCTGACTTCTGTCGTACTTCACTACCTGATCCTTAATGTGTATCTTGTGACTGTTACGCTGACTAACGGCAAGTAGAGCCCGATGACCCACCGGCGCGCGGTTTTGCTCCACCCGATAGTAGCAAGTGACATTCCTGGGGTAAACTCCGGGATAATTCGGCGACTGCAGCCGGCAGGCTCTAGTATCGCATTTAGTGAGGACGCGATCGCAATACGTGCCGTTCACCAACTCGCCGCGCCATGTGGACATACTGCTGTTTCCGTATCTGAGATGCGCCTCGCTTCTTCTCAGGAACTTGTACGACAGCTTGAAGTCGAAGTTGTAGCCGATACCCTGAGACACGGAAAAATTGCCCGAAATTGTGCCGCGACGGTAACGCGCGTTCCTTTTACTTCACATTGAATATTCTCAGTTGGAAAACTTTTTTTCAAAATGTTCCATGTCGCTGACGCATTTCGAAATTCTTTTACGACAGACAACTTTTTTAGAACAAGTCGATTTTAACTGTAATAAATTTATAATATAGGAAGTAGAAAGATAGCAAATAACGACTCTCAATATTTCCCTGAGAAAAGCCGACTTCAAATATCGTTAATTTAAGGTAAAATACCGTGCAACAACTTTGATAAAAGTTCCATATTGCCGCGGCGAAATTACGGAAAATCAGATCGCGTATCCCCCTGAGCTAACTCAATTTCTTACCTGCTCTGATAAACGTAGTAAATATAAAGTCAGATTGATGGAAGGAGTTTCGCTGTAATAGACGGTGTAGCCCCACGCGCTGCCACACCATTGTCCTCCCGTCGCAGGACGACCTTCCTCGCGAATAGTCATGAAACCATCTGGACATCCTTCCGACGTAAAGGATAGAAAGCGGCCGACCGTGAAGGTATCAAAAGTTAACTGTAACACCAGGGACGAGAGAGAAAGGGGGCATTATTCTAAAAGTTATGAGCCAGCGGAGTATTCGCGTGAGCAACCGGCTAACGATTTTTGTTGGAAATAAAACTAAAGATAAAAGTTGGATTACAGTTATTACGGACCCTTCGCGATAAAAGCAAATATTTCTATTATCATCTCGTTGATTATTACGCGACGTTACATTTTGGCTCGTATAATACTGAGAATGAATAAGATAAGTCACTAGGAAAAGTTTTAGCGCGAAAAATCGTATAACTCCTGTAATATAAAAATATATGAAAAAACATAGTCTTTTTCGCAAATTTTCTATAACATGAGCATTATATACTATTTGTACAGTAACTCAATTTTGCTTTAAAATGTATAATAACTATCATAGTTTCACAATAAATTTAGCAGAAACATTTTTAATATCTTTTAATTAGCAAATATTGATTTTCAGACGTGCTAAAGTAAAAAAGATTTGGACACTTTCAAGTACTTTTACGCCGTCATTTTTACGTTTTCATTGTCCCGAGATACTTGTCCCCCCATCCATCGTGAAAACTTTATACTCTTGACCGCTTGATTGTACTCCGCTAACAACGTAAGTATCGATTCTATCATTGCGGAGAGATGTAATAATCGGTGTGTCAATATCAATCGGAATCGAAAATATATACCTGACGGGAACTTAGAGTTCAGAATCAGGGGATCTGTGGAGTAAGCGTATTCCGCGATGGCGGAGCGCGATGTTTACTCAGCGCGGGAACTGATTTAATTTTGCCAATAAACGCGATAAGAATCGTAAAAGCCGGGATATAAATTATTATCCGGGCCCGACGCGGCGCAGTGGGTTAGCCTGCTGTCTGTTCCATGACAGACTTCCTACGTTGGCTGGGCACCAGTCAGCATTATTTTCTACAACTACATCATTTCTATGTCCAACCTGGACTAGATCCCCGAGATCAGATCCGGCGGCAGTGAAGTTGAGGTGACACAGGAATGGCAGTCGATCCTCCCTCGGTCGGCGGATTTCCACTCTGTAGGTCCGGCCTACGTCACCGTACAACGTCCGATTGCAGGCTGAAACGTTTGTTTGTTTGTTTGCTTGTTTGTTTCCCTTTTTACATTGTGCAATAATTTATGCGCGGAAAAGTGTAATAACACTGCGTGGTAAAATGATACCCAAGGGAATTTTACGCCTAACTAAGCGCACGGTATCCTGCACACCGAAGCGCATAATGTCCGATTGTAAACGGAAATGTTTTCGTCATGCCGCGATCATACTACAAAAATATATTCTGGAATATTTCAATATTCAATTGTGATTATGCTTATGACATGGGCGAAATAAAATATTATTTGAAACCAAATATACTAACTCTCCTAACTACTCTCACACGGTTTCGTATATCAAGCCGTACAAAGTCTGGCGGTAAATAGAAATGTTTTTATTGCGCAATTATTATGCGCGAAAAATAAATCCTGAGATATAATTATGCCGGATTATAAAAAACGACGTAATAAAACATTATTTTATAAAATATAATTCTTAATTGCTTCTCTCTCTCTCTCTCTCTCTCTCTCTGTCGCACGTTCTAAATCTACGAGTCTATATGTTTAGTTAAACATTTATAAATTAAATAGATTTTTGCATACTCAAATTTACAGGTCTCACATTTTTGTATTTATACTTCTTCTACATAAAAATCTTCTACAATTTTCCTATATTTCTCTTATTCTTATTTCATGACTATTGGAAGCGTGAAGTATAATACGTAATTATTCCACGTAATTAGCTCGTTTGGGCCTGCGCATATTTTAATATGCAATTTGAAATTCTATGAAGGAATTGGATCATGAATGCTATAATAAATTTCTCCTATTATGTTACGTTTCTATTGAAATGTGTTGCATATATTATCGAAAATTAAAAATTCAAAGGGATGAAAATGCGATATTTGTATAACATAATTATATTTGAGCTTTGCAAATCGATTAAATTTCGTATAAAGTGGTAATTATACTATTATACCAATAATGAACGGACAAATTATTTACCTCATTAAATTATTAGATAAAAATTATTTAATTGCGTGTTTGTGTGCAAATACAAGCCATGTGTGGGAAGCACAAGGCTAATGACATATATTCTGTGAATGAGTTTTACATGATACGGTTTTAATTTTTATATGAATTAAGCTAAAATGGTAATGTATATAGCTAAATAATTACTAGCTAAATAATTACTTGGAACATTATCTGCTTGGATGAGCGAAAACTTTGTTTCTGGTTTAACGTATATTCGGTGTAATTCGTATTGTTTTGAATATGTCAGATAAACAAGCGGTCACGCATGACCAAAAACAATTGTAATTATTTTTCTGCTTCTCGATTACTTCAATTACATTTTTCCCTTTATTATCTATTTACCTATTGTAGGTATTTAACTGTTTACTTGATTAATCGTGTTCGAGACACAAGATAACAAAAGCTTTCAAATTTTCAAAAACATAAAAACGCTGATCCATTTGTTCATGATGATAAACATGGTGATCCACTTCGTGCTTTTTTATTGTATTATTCAACAATTGTGTATAAATTTAGTTTTAACAAAAGAATCATAACAATACATTTTTAAAAGAAATAATCGATTGGAATTATTTATTATTTTTCGGTTCAAATGCCTAATAAAAGACGACTTCGAGAAGGAGAAAGAAAGAGAGAGAAAGGAACAGAGTGAGATACCTCGGCGGATCGATTCGTCCCGGCGCGGCGCGGCGACTTGCTTTGTTCAACGTCTCCGTTCGTTCGCGGGGGTACTCACGGGTGCAATATCTCGGCTCGTCAGACTTGTCGTCGCAGTCATTCTCGCCGTCGCAGTACTTGTCCTGGGCGACGCAATGTCCGGTGGTGCCGCATTGGAACTCGGACGGTCGGCAGAGCGGCTCGGTGTTGCTGGCTGCGGGCTCCGACGTCGGGCCGGACGTGGACGAGCTCGAGGACGACGCGGACTCGGGTGACGTCGCGCCGGAGTAAACCGCGTATCCGCTCGGGTATCCGGAGTAGTCCGATGACGAAATGCCGGGGTGGTAACTAGCCGAGCCAGCCTCGATCGAGGCCGCAATCGCGGCTGCGATCAGCAGCAACCGCCGACACACCAACATGCCCCCTCACCCTAAAAATAAATTAAATTTCGCCAAGTTGAGTAAACCTTTATGTAACTATGTAATATGTATATATATGTGGCAGCTAAATAGATTGCTATATAAATTCTATTTTATCATTCGTAAGGTTCAACGCAATATGGTGATCGAAACAAAATGTTTCTAACTTTATCTCATCAGATTTGATACTCCAAATTATTTTTCATACGTCGAGAAAAATGTTGGCTTTATTTCGATAAATCAATTGATCAAGTTTGTCCCAATCAAGATAATATCAAATAAGATTGAAAATATTTTGTTAAGTTACCTTTAGACAATATTTAAAATTATAAATAAAATTCTATTTAACTTTGTGCATTATAGATTATTTAAACTGGGCTTTAGTTTTATTACTAAACAATGGTGTTAAATATAATATACGGAATTGATTTATAATACATCTTGCGAACTTGTAATATTAGTTTGTACTAGATATCCACGGCTTCTCCGATAGTGGTAGTAGTTCTACAAGTTCTTATCTGAAGAGAGTCCACGGACAATGGAGTCCTAAGGGCTCTACAAATTGTCAATAAATGTTAGGAACCATCAGGTTCTATCAAGAAAGAGAAAGTTTCTTGTTTAGTTTCATCCTAAAGAAGAAGATAATCCGCGCATAAAAGAAAGAGTATAACGTTTTTAGTTCTTTTAGCGTTTGCAGTATCGGTAGTCTCCCTTCTCCGCTTGCAACCGGCGCAAGAAGAGGAAAACGACACACAATTCCAAATCTTGAAGAAGTAAATTGATATTGCGAAAGGACCTGGGAAAAGTCTCGGCGAGACCTTGGATATATTCATTGGCCGAGGATATATATCCTCTTAAAAAGAACTGAATAAATAGTCGTAATATTTCACGGCTTGCAGGTGTTGCTCCCAGCCTGTTCTTCCTAACACTTTTTAGTGACGGCTCTCTTACACGGCAAAGCCCCTTCTCTTTCGCGGTCACATTTTTCTTCCTCCGCCGTGTGTGCCTCTCTTGTTGCTTCACAATTTCACGTGTACAGCTTCCGTGATATAATTATACCTTGATAAAAAGCAAATAAAATATATTTCTTTTCTCCTTCGTTCTCAAATATTTAAGTTCATTTTAATTCTTCGCGCAGTTTCATGAAATTAAATTTATCACAACAATTTAAAAAGTTCTTACATTCTCGATATTAACGCGCAGGAAAATACCACTTTTCCGGGATTTTTCCGATTTCCCATGCAGTCGTCGGCGGCTCGACGATCAATGATTCGCCCGATTGCATGTGAATAAAACGTTCTTCCCTTTATATCTCCGGCCCGCTCTTTCTCCGTGTCACAGGGGGATGTTGGCGCGGGATGTGCATCATCAACAACATTGGTTCACTCGATTTAAAATCTTCCCTCCTCGTGCCCCATCTCTCTTACAACTGGACCCTTCACTTTTTTACGGAGCTTTATTCATTCCACTCGAGCCCTTCCTTTCTCTCAAAGTCGTTTACCCTCACTCAGATCTACTACGTTTCGACGATTTGTTACCGCCCCGAAGACGTTAACTCGACGCATCCCCCCCTTTTTACGTTACACGGACGACGTATATGCTTTGATAAATTCTCAACGATAAACGTACCGCTGAAGAAGATACAGATGTAATAACACGCGCGTTCGCTCTACATGTTCTTTGATTAACGCAAACAAATTTCATTCGCTTTGACGTACCGTGGACGTACTCCGAAACGTAAAATGAATAGCCCGGCCGGGTTTTAACTCGTTAAGACACCAAATACAACTCGGTCGGGTGATTCGCGCGGAGTGTTTAGAGAGAGGAGAAGCGGATTATGCTAATTCTATTCAGAAAACTAACTCCTCTTACGTGAATGGACTCACCAGTTCGCCGTACAAATACCGGGGATCTATTAATTCGCACACGGCAACTCGCGCGCGGATCGATGCCGCGCGAGTGTTCATCGTAACAAAGTTCCGCCGTGTCGACCTTATCCGCGGAAACTTGATAACACACACCAGCGTGTACGCTTAGAAAGCAAATGCGCGGCGCCCGCCGCGATAGGTACGGGTGTGAGAAACCCGTGTTATCCTGCCTTTTTATAACCCCGCGTGTGCAACAACCGCCTCTCGCCCCCCCGTGCACAAAACCCATCGGCTCTCAAGTCTCACGGGTGAATAATATCCATGCTAATGCAACGTCGCGTCCTCGCGAAAACGTCAGCGCTAACGAGCGACACGACAGGGCAGCGCGGAAGGAACGCGGAATAAAAATCCTGATTTTTCGCCCAACACAACCAAGAGTAAAAATAGACCCGGACGTTGAGCGACTACGGCGGAGACCGCCCGGCGCGGCGGTTAGGTTAGGTGGTCGGGACGGTCGTTGTGTCGTACGGCTTGGGTGACGGGGGTGGTCGCGTCGGGCCGTGGCGGGGGCGGTGGCGGGGGGCGGGGGAGAGTGGAATCCGCAATAAAAGATAACTGGATTCAAGTGCGGAGACTGCGTTGCACGCGCGCGCGACAGTAAAGGCTCTGTTTATTAAGCGGAGGGAAACGGAATCTGGGCCAAGCCCACGGGAACATGTAGCGCACGGGCGGGCAACACGGAATATGGTAATTCGCCCGGCGCGGGCGGGACGGGACGCGCGCGGGGCCCGGTGGCCGCGCTCTCTCCAGGCTCTCCTCTGCCTCACTTCGCAAATATACACGCGCGTCGTATGCGCCGTACGAGTGTCACCGAAATTGCACGCGCGTGAAAGCTTATGCCGGCCCGGCAGCGCGCGGTCGTACTTGCGGAAAAACAGTTCGCGTCGATCGGTTACGTTAAATTGCGTCACGTACCCGGAATATTGCAAAAATATGTTGCACACGCTTCTCACGTTGCGAATATTAAAAGGGAATGGGGTACGTCGTACATCATTGTCAAAATATAATCTTATTCTAGAGATTAGTTAGAATCGAAAATCTTAATATAGGAACGTCCGTGTCGTGACAGAGTTTTTGAGTTATAAAGTTGACCGATGGTATCGCATATAATTTGTGTAATCAGACACGTAATTGCGTTTGTATAGATACGTAGAGCTATCATTTATTAATGACTTTCACAGCTCAGATATATGGTAGTGAGATTTTTACTGTTCGATTAATTTTTTATTTTCTTCGTGCAGAGATATTACACTATAATTAATTGTTAAAGACAAGTATTACTAATAGCAAATTTTATCTGCCACATGTAAATTATATAATTCTTTTTAATCAAAATTTAAATAATCGGTTAATTATTCCGCTTAAGAAAGACTATCGAATTTTTAAATTTGGAGAATATATATATATATATATATATATAAAATTTGTCCTTTTTCCATTATTCTTTTTCTGATTTTTAACATCCGAAGAGAAATAAAATCGCGTGAGTTTAATAAGTTAAGTAAGAATAATTTTTCATAATTTTATTCTTTGATTTACTAACATTGCAGAATTTTTTATTTATTAAAATAATAATAATAAACACGTATAAAAATGCTTTTCCGAAAATAAAAATAAGTTTTATTGTTCAAATAGACGTTGAACCTGTATTATAACAATTCTCATTTATCTAAATTGATTTAAAATATAAGGGACGGCCTATTTTTCTATAAAGCGCACTTTAAACCGATCTGTAATATTCACGTCAGATTTCAAAGTCCAATTACATCTCACTTATAGAATATAATACTATAAATGTAACTTTACATGTCGCAAATTTCGAGATATTATATGCACTATTTTAACGCATCTTCTATTCGTACCTTAATATACCTACAGTCTATTCTAATTTTTCATACGTTTTTCCGTATTATCGTAACAAGATTACAGGTGGAATTCTATTTCGAATCCCGACACGAATTATACATTATCTAAAATGAACCTCATATCGCGCTCTCAGATCAAGACGAGCGAGCGCGAACAAACACGAATGAACAGCGCAATTTAAATGAGTGCGAACACAGTGCCGTTAAATATTTCGCCGTATTGGATACGTTAAATATTTCATTTGAATTGGCCGGGTACGGTACGACGGCGAGACGCTCGGCTTGTTTTCGTCGCGCACGGTGCGCTGTGGTATATACACAAGGTCGTTGTGTTGTCATTTGCACTGATTTGCACGGCGACACTCGAGCGGGTAGGTACGAGTCGCTCCGTGCGTAGCATTATCCTTCGAGACGCGCTCGAAGACGCGTGTCATTTCTTATGAATAATAAGCGTCGAGCGATCAATCTTTTCATATCGACGATTCTTTATCGCGCTATACCTCGCGATATCTCGCGCGGTTTATTATTCCGAGCTTTATTCCGAACAACAATTGACGATAGAAATTACAAATTAGTCCAATCTCTTTGCGTTTAGACCCGAATGCATTATCTCGCACAGCGTACAGCGCTTTCCGAGCTCCTCTCGCAAATTTGAATGTAATTTGAGCGTCATTTTCGAACGCCGAGAGCCGCGATATGCACACGCGATGCTTTAATGGACGGATTAATAATGCGCGTATTTGCCGGGATTCATGCGAAATGTATTGCATTTCGACAATATTGTATATATTATCGACAATTGAAATGCAATCGTGCGCACTTTTTTGAACGGTCCGTGTCGCGTCTTAAGGCAATCGCACACAAAATGCATAGCTTAGCATAAGCGTAGCATAAGACCGTTAAACCAATGAGCATCCAGCATAAAGTCGCCATATTAATTTACATAAGATGCTCATTGGTTTAGCGGTCTTATGCTATGCATATGCAGCAATTTTGTGTGCGAGGCCCTTATTATAATTGCGGCGGGTTTTGAATCGCGTCGTGTCGCGCGGTGAACGAAGTGAAGTTGCCGCCGAGCGGCCGCGAGGCAACGTTGCAGGGTCATTCGCCGAAAGTCGTGCCCAACGAGGTGGCCACGGTCTCGCCTCGCGTCGCCGCGTGCCATGCCGTCGCGATCCGTTTGACCGGTAAATACTGGTCGTGATTAACTTCGATATTTGTTGAACACACAGCGCGAATCCGGGGTTTGTACGGCGATTAAAGGTTCGTCACCCCAATCGTACCGTGAAAATCGTCGCGACGGTGCGGTGTCGTCGAGCGGGGGGGGGGGGGGGGGGGGGAGTCGGTGTCTTTTCCATGGCGTTCTCCCATCGCGTCGCAATGAAGTACGCGTCGTGTGCGGCTAGCGTCGGAAGTGTCGCGCGAAGTGCCGTGAGAGCGTTGCAACAAAGCGCGCGCGTTCATAATTAATCGTGTTTTCGCGAGTGAGTGAGTGCCATAAAGGAGCAGCAAGGCACCTGGGAGGAGGTGGGGGCGTCGGGCGACGACGGAGCAACCAATGGCGTGAGTAGCCTTTATTATTTATCGTATTATTTGTACGTTATTTGTGGAGTTGACCCTGTTTTGTCCTGATTATTTGGGTGATTACATTGCACGTAAAAATCGGAGGAAAGGTTTTTGTTTTACCTGTAAAATTTTGACAGAGTTTATACTTAAAAAGAAATAGATTCTCTCTCTCTCTCTCTCCCTCTGTTCGAAAAATATACGGTTCTTTTGTTCGATATTTTTACGCTTGAAAGACAAATATGTTAAATTATTGAGCGCACGCAATAATATTAACTATTGTTTGAAATTGTGATATTGATCGCTTTCGACGCTGCTACATAATTGGAATATATTTGTGTGCTTTACAGGTCGACGCAGTTAACTCCGTCGCTGCGCATCGTATTGGTGAGTGCCAAATTATCTCTTATTTTAATCTGAGGTAATGGAATATAATGGAATATTACGGTTAAATATAACAGCTGACAGGTCCATTGCCTTAAAATGGTTGAACTAGGACATATTAATGTAATATTTAACTCTGATGTATAATCGTCCGTCGACCTGTGCACACACGAATGCAAACGTACAGAGAGCTCATAAAATAGAGTTCATCATTATTATCAATGCATTGTTAGTCGGTTAGATCATTTACCGACGCATTTCGATATCTTAAATTATATAGTGATTGCCCGGTAATTAGTGTACAGTAATTACTAGGTGCATAAGTCGCTTAATGTTTATAGGATTTTCATTCGCTGGCATGTATTCAAGTGAGAAAAAAGGAGGGGAAATATTTTACAACTGGGGTAAAAGTGAAAAGTGATATAAGCATGACGGAGTAACTTTACGGAGTAAACAAAAAGAAAGGATCTTCGAATCGTAAAGATATTATTAGGTATGTCTTTTATATTTTTTGCCAAGCACTTTATGAATCGGCGAGATTTTTAAGAAAAGTCATCTAAGAGAATACATGAAAAAAGAGATGATGTATTAATTTGGCACATTACAGAATTGATTAAAAATTTTTTATTTTATTGTTTAGACAAATAATGAAAAATAAAAAAAATAAAACTTATGACAAATAAAAAATATTAATATATATTTGTCGTACCTATATAAAATATTCTTATTTTACTTTTTTCATGGGTTTTTACTTTTTTCATATCCCATGAGCTAAGAAGATCAGATTAAGATATTCTATGTATTTATGTGAAATAAAAATAAATAAATATTTATAAAATATGTTAGGGAAAAATTGTTAATATTAGGTATGGTTTAGCTTTTCTTCTTTCCGTTTTCTAAAGATTCTTTTAATAAAATTTGAGATTTACTTGTAATCTCTCTATGCCTCTCTCTACAGAGTTAAATATAAAATTGGTGCAAGAATGCAAAATGTACTTAATTTTTTAAACATCTCTGCTTAAATAAAAGAATAAAAATATTTTAATTACACAATACATTTCAATTAATTGATTTAATAAAAGAATATACCAATTATTGTTAATGATATTTATTGTTATAATGCACCAATTTTACATTGATCTTTCACAGTTCATCCATATTTATTAATAATTTGATTTTATATTAAAGGAAAATAAATTGACATGAGTTATTATAATATATATAGTATGTATATACGTACTAAAAAATATTAAAAGATAAAATTAGTCAATAAAATTAGGCAATAAAAATCAATATTATTTGATTTTATGATCAATCAATAACAGATTGATATAAATATAATTACGGGCCTATAAATGTGCAAACTTTACGTGACATTATATTGATCAACTTTGATCGCTTATCATTCGATTGCATTTTTTACATTTTTACATTAGGATCGATATTTAATTTTAATTAATGTTCTAAATACGTTATTAAAGTGTGCATAGTGGGATAAAACGAATTTTTTTTACATTTACCTTGTATAAACTTTGTGTATACTCGTGAATATAACATCTATGCGAGTTTTTGGATTAAATCTGTTTTAT